TGCATGCCGAAAAACAGCTTCCCTTTGGAGGCGTTCAGGGCCTTCTCCTGGTCCTCCTGCTGCCGGAAGAACACCAGTCCGTATCGCTCTTCGGAGGCCCCGTGAATCTGGACACAGGTCACCTTCCCGTACTTCTTGAATTTATGGAACAGCCCGTCCTTGAGGCTGGTGTCTACACCGCAAGGGGCAAATCAAAAGAAGGCATGGTCATCTTTGGAATCCACAGCGTGTCAGACCTGGAAGCCATCTTTTTCTTTTTGGATTTCAGGCCTGCCACACTTTCTACTGTGGGAAAATTGGGGGAGGGGGGATTGCATGGAGTTAGGTGAGGTGTAACTATAACAACATTCTTTCTCAGAAAGTCAAGGTCACTTTTGTCCATGCACTTAGACGGATGTGGATAAGAGGGAGCTGTCTTTGTGGCAATGGAGGATTGGACCATGTGATAAGATTTGTGGGTGTTGGGACAGGGTGTTGAATTTTCAACTGGGTGGGAAAAGCTGGAAGCTTTCAGATTCGTGTTTTCCCAGATGTGCCAACATGACATCTCTAATAAAGTGGAACTTTGAAGAAACACAAGTTTTCTTTTGTTGGAGGTGGTGTTTTTGGAACCCTGACACAGTGGTTCTTTAGCTTGAAGCTTCCGTTGGTATCTTTTTATATCCATCATTAATATAACAAGAAACCCAAAACATTCCCACGCCTGCTGGCATGGCCGCGACAATCACCTACTCCCCCCCCCCCCGTCTCTTGAAGCAGTCCTTGCCCGTATCTATTGTAGGTAGCACCTGCATTTTGGCTGGGAGGCATAGAAATGAAAAAGAAGGCCCAGCCTTCTAAAAGCTGAACTATTTCTGTTGGTCAAAAGAAGGGTTTTACTGTCATGTAGCCCCACCCCCTTCCCTATGATGAGCAGAGGAACGTGCCTCAATTTCCTTGGGGGATAAAATCTCTAATATGATGTGCAAAGGGAGCCAGTCTAGCCAAGAGCAGTTTCAGAAGAAAAAAAAAATCAAGCCACCTACCATGTTTCCCCCCAAATAAGACAGAATCTTATTTTATTTAGACCCCGAAATAAGCAATTGGCCTTATTTTCAGGGAGATCTTGTTACAGCGGTTCTCAACCTGTGGGTCACGAACCTTTGGGGTCGAATGACCCTTTCGGGTCGAACAACCCTTTCACAAGGGTCACCTAAGACCATCCACCTCCAACGGTGTCAGTGATGGTCAGGAGCGTGTCCTGAAGCAGCAGGTGCATGAAGAGCACCAGGTGGTGAAGCAGCCTCCTCCCGGCTCCGGGCGTAACCACACCAGGGAAAGGTCGAAGCACTGAAGTGGGAGAGAGACAGGTTCTTATGTGTGGTGGATCAATCTTGGCTCTGATGACGTCAGAAGCGAGCGTTCATCAGTGCCGCTTCAGCCCAGCCGCCTGTACAGGGGCTCAAAGGCACCCGGAGAGCAGGAGACAGGTGGGGCATCGGGCCACTCACTTCAGCCAGTTCTCGCCCAGGCAGGCGCATGTCAGGATTCAAGCTACCTTGGGCCTGGACGCTGCCTTTGATGCCCCCGCTGCCGGTCCTGTCCTGTGAGCTAAACTGAGCTCAGAGGCTTTTTGGTCCCAGGTAAGGGCCGGCAGGAGAGGCCAAGCCCCACCCACCCATTCCTTCCATCCCGAGGAATTCCACTTGGGACAGAAGCACAGTTCGATGTAACTTAAGCCTCTGTTTAAAATCCCATTAAAGGGCAATTTCTTAATCTGTGTTAAATCGATTGCTCTCATGAATTAACCGCTACATGCTCCCATGCCTGGTGTAATGAGAAGAAAGAAAGAAAGAAAGAAAGAAAGAAAGAAAGAAAGAAAGAAAGAAAGAAAGAAAGAAAGAAAGAAAGAAAGAAAGAAAGAAAGAA